TAGAATGACATCTCTACTCAATGTACAGAATACACTAGAAGCTTAAAGACAATACAAGGTAAAGACCCCCATTTGCATTTTTATTGTATGAATTACTATGCTGTTTGACAGTTTAAAAATAGAAAATCTAGCACATAGACCACAATGAATTAAGTAACTTCCAGTACTGCTCACGATTTTGGTACTGGCATGATAAGAAAGTCAGCTTAGTTTAAATTTTAATTAAAAAATTGACAAAAATAATCACGGTTTGATCATTCAATCTTCTTATTTTATACTTGGAAATATAAAAAATCTTCACCAAATCTTGTCTGTCACCATAAGCCCAGTGGAAGTTTGTTTCCTAGACTGATAAGTTATCTTAATGAAGGCTATTTCACTCCATGAATCCCATTCTTTGGTAAACGCGACCTACAAAAATGTTTTTACTCTGCAGCAAAAACTCAGAAGTTGAGAACTGTCTTTTATTGGAAACTTTCATGTGTCACATAAATAGAACAAAATTGGTAAAAGGCCCCATCTTTTAAAGCTGCAAAGCCTCCTTTGCTTAAGAAATGTGACACACATGTCAAAATTCAAATAATTGAACATTTAATGAAGATACTGTAACAAAAAAAAAAAAAAAAAGGAAAAAAAGACAGGGTTAATACTATTAACTCATCTGCTCCCTTTCCATCGAGGTGAACCTTGGTCTTGGGGGTAATAAGCGAGATTTTTTACTTCTATCAAAGAGTTACACTTCAAAGTGATACAAAAGGCCTGTAGAGTGACAACAACCAACAATCTGTTCTCAGGAGGTGAGTCCCAAGATGAAAGTATCCCAGTAAAATCCGATACAGAACAGAGGAGAAACTGCTCAGCATCACCACAACAAGCCAGACTGCAGTTTTGAGAAATGCCCTGTACACATCCCAGCTTCAATCTTGAATACTGGCTGCTGCCATAGCTAAACTTTTTCTAGTACATAATTATGGACAGGGTGGAAGAGAGGAATTGAAGAAAACTTTCTCTTTTATTCCTCATTCAATAGCTCCCAGTGTTAATCCCCAGCCGAAGAATTGAAATCAGCCCACTTTCATGATACTTGTTTACTCAGATAGTATCATCCTATTTCCAACCTTAAAATATTTTGCATCCAAAGCTTTGATATGATTAAACATCTTATTCTTAAACTAAATGCAACTTAAAATGAAGTCTTCTTATTTAGTTGCCAGTTCAGTATATTCATTAAAATTTTAAACAAATTACCATAATAATTTCAAATCTGCCATATTTTCAGGTAAATAATCACCAGACACATAAGAAAAAAATATAACAGAAAATTATTGGCAGAATCTAGTCTCTAAAAACAGATTTCAAATGTTTTCAAAATCCAAAACCAAGGGTCAGCAAAAAAACCTGACTCAAGGGTAATGGTCGCTCATGTTCTGATAGACTGCCTAGAAAATCTATTTAAAAATAATTATTAATTATTATAAATCTCCCTTTCCTCAACAGTCAGATGGTGATATTAAAGAATGGATTCAGTCCCTAACAACGTTTCCTTAAGTGATTCATCACTACACTTTCCTTTTTGCATCAAGATTCTGCTGGGGATTACATGAGTCAGGGGAGCTTTATGTAAATATTTGAAAGTAGATTAGAAATGCACTGTTAGAATTTTATTTCACAGAACATTGCAATAGTCTTGCTCCCTGGTGGCAAGTACCTGCAGAGAATAGAAAGACTTCAGTCACACTCAGCTTTTGAAAACTCCTTTTCAGATAAACTAGGTGGAAGTAGTGCTTTTGATCCAAAGTTCAGGTCCCAGCAGGGAAACATTTCTGACAGATCAGCTGGGTTAGCAGGCTCACTTACAGCTTCTACATGGATGATGACAGAGAGGCAGGAGGAGCAAGTGCATAGCACAGGACTGCAGAGCTGCTTTAAGTCACAGGCCAGTAAGAAAAATAAAAAAACCCCTAACTCTGAATACATTAAAAGCATGAATTTATTAATCTGAAGAGGTTGCTGCTCCTAGATAATGCATTTATGTTAAGATTGCTGTTCCTTGATAATGCATTTACATATCAATGCAAAGCTCAGCTTTATTGGAAGCTTTTTTTTTTTTTTTTTTTGCAAACCCTGCTAGCAGAATGGGTAGAAGCTTGACCAAAAAACTAAGAACAGGATGTTAAGCCATCTAGTTACCATGCATTAAAGGAAAATGGTTATCAGTACAAAAGGAAGACATGCCACTTTACCATAATAACACAGCCTAGCAGCACTGCTTCACTTAAATGGTACTTCACAAGCATCTTGATTAGAAGAGGATCCTAAATTCAACTGTAATTTCTTTGTAACTGAGAATATAAAAGCAGGCCAAAAAGCTAAAAGATATACACACAATTTGAAACACTCCATATTTTTGGCATTTGTTCACCAAACTTCAGAAGCACATAACAATACAGAATCTTTCACTTTTGTATTCCAAATCAAAAACTGAGCTCTCTAATGCTTAACTTCTGAGGAGTTGCCATTGTAAAGCTCAGTTTTTCTATACCTCAGTCTTAATATTTGGTAAGTTGCTCAGTTATACTCTCACAAAGCTGCTCAAAGACGAGACTTGGTCCTTCAAGGTGAAAAGACTTAAGTTTAGTTTCTGCAGGCTCGAGCAAGCTGCTGTTTTCTTCATGTGGATTGCAACAATATTGGCCCTGAAAGCACAACCACCCCCTCTGCACAACTTACACTCAGGGAGAAAATTAACAGCATGATGATTGTAAAGCACTGTCCTCCAGCCAAGACATTTTAATATCAAGGAGTCTCTAAACTAGACTGATTACTGACTAAAGTTGAAATAAACTCTGACTCCCAAAACTACATTTTTGGATACAATATTGAGAAAAACAGGAACTTTAGCTTAAAAGCCAGCATAAATCTAAACAGGCACCATTTCTTCAACAACAGTTAGTGATAGAGAAGTGCATTTGCAAGTATGTACTGGTCAGGCATATCACATTATTTCTTGGACTAAAGTCCAATTCAAGCTTATTTGTTTTCCCAAAATATTTTTCTCCCACTCTTTTGTCTGCTTTATTACAACAGTCCAGAATAGAGACAATATGCAAACAACCAAAAACTCAACAAACAAACTAAAAAAAAAGAATCTGAAGTTGGTTAGTTGTTTAATCTTACACAGACTACACTTTTTGAGGTATCTATCTGTACTCTGATTATTTAAAAACCAGTACAGTAGGGACACCATCTGCATGGCACCTTAGAGTTCTGTATACTAGAAGTAAGACAGGCCTGCATTTTTGGCGATTAAGGTTGCATATCAGTTTTGGGATGTGCCTCAGAGACTTCAGTGGCCTGAACTACACATGCAGGTAGAGATGTTAGACTCTCAACTGCCCGAGCAACTCATTGGCATTGAAACAAATGCAGTGAATCAGATAAACCTACCTTAAGTCAAAGTTGGTATAATAGCCCCACTGACTGCTGCACTTTACATAGAGTAAGTCTGAAATATGATTGTACAAAATTGCAAAGTTATTTGGATACATAGAAAGAAAATAGTACAATTCACCTTGCTAAAATTTTACAGTATTTCTGCTTTCAAGGATATACACAAAGCTTGACATACATTCATATGTGAAGATTTTTTGAAGGGTAGATGGAAAGGGGGCATGGAAGACAGCATGGAGTCATTTTCTACTGAGAGCAGCAGAAGAGCCTCTTACTTTCCCTGTGAAAAGCTGCCTGAATTCTGAAGCTGAGATTGAAGCAGCTAGCAGGGGTTTGCATACAGAATTTGTGAATTATAGAATAGAAGAATTATAGAATTATAGAAGGATTCACAAAAAACTGGGCAGGATCCAGATATAACAGTGCCAGTTGCTTTCTACCATTCCTTACAGTATCATACCTTTACTGGTTAACAGTGGGTCACAGAACAGTGGTCTATTGTCAAATGCTGTTTTAAGTGTGTTTTGCCCTAAAAAGGCCTAATGAAGCATGAAGTGAGAGATTTGGGGGTAGTGAGCGTGGTCCAACAAAACCTACCTGCCCTGAATGAGTGAAAAAGCATATTTTAAATAGTTTCTATTGGAAAAGATAAGGAGTTACATGTGAATTCAAAAAAAGATACAGCACACAGGAGAAATAAACAAAAACTCCACCACATGGCTGGGGTATGAACAAGATGCCAAACAAAATCCTTTCTTGTTACCATTCAAAAATTTCCAGTGTTTTAACTGAAAAGTTCTTTTAATTCATATCAAAGACATGACTAAAAGCTTGCCAGGGCTCACTGCAGTGTTCCTTCACTTTCCATTAGCAGCCTCTTGAAGCTGACATAGTGACATAGTCGTTTACAAGAGAAACAAGAGAAAAACATCAATGCACAAAATTTAGAATGAAGCCAGGCAGAAAAAAAGAAATATTCTGTCTTAAGAAAGTGAACCCTTAACTAGTCCAAACTGTATCCAGTAGGTTCTATGACTATGTAATTATCACCAGATTATGACATCTAGGGGATAAGAAATAAAATGCATTTGACTCAAGAAAAGGAATTTAACACAAACGAATTTTGTTTTAAAATGAACTTTTCAAGTTTTGATGGAAGATTAAATAATGGGTGTTAGGTGTGCCTGACATGGTAAGAATATTTTTCAATGCTTAAAGAAAGCATTTGTACTGAGTGTTCTGGACAATGTTCAGGTCATTAAGTTGTGAAAATGCCAAAGCAATTAGGGTCATATAATCAAAGTTTAATGAGAAGTCCAAGTTAACACTTTTGATTATTGATACACTACCTGAAATGGTTTTGAAAATGTACTTTCTGGTGCTTCTTTGACACCATCTAAAATGTGTTCCAACACTTGTGTCTTGATCTGAGGAGGCTTAAAATATGAAAAGAAGAAACAGTTGTTTTCCTACTCCTCTCATCTCCCCTTCATCGTTTTCTTGGATGAAGAACCCTAATCTCCTCCCAGCATAAATGGAAGCAAACTAGGTTTAAACATTTGAAAAGATATAAAGGTTTATTAAATGAATCCAGATTTGACAGATATTACATTAAATTAAACAGCAATAAAGTTTTACTAGGGTTTATGTACAGATCACAGTGATTTTTTTTCATTGTGCAATGAGGGCTGACTTTGTAGTTTGAACAGTACTTACATGTGAGCTACAACAAGCAACCAGCAACACACAACATTAGCCCAAGTGAACCTCGCAAGTCGAGCAGTCCAAACTGATTACGCAGCACACAAATGCCTGCTACTACTATCACTACTTACTACACAATAGAGTATTTATAAAGCAGTCAAGGTTTGCCATAGAAAAGTGCAAAACATGGGAAGTCTGTACACAGTACAGTACAAAAAGGAATCATGCTACAGTCATTGAAAGCTGAAAAATAATTCTATAGCATAGGAAGCACTGCATCACAACTCTTCTGAATGGCAAGCAGATGGGCTGAGGAACAGCCATATCTTCATTGCTTTCAAAACTGTAAAATCCCTGTTTATCCATTTAAACATAGTTTAGTACCTATATTTGATCGATAACAATGACTGTCTACAGTGGAAGATCACATTAGTTAAAGCTCAGTAGCACACATATTCATTGATCAAGCTCATTTACAGAAAAATCTACAGCATGTTCTTCATTGAAATCATGAAGTATTTATATCATTTGGTTACAAGGCATTGAGTTTACAATTCATGTTTATCACTTAAAACCTCAGATTGGGCAATTCAAAATATATATATATAAAACTCAAAAATAAAGGTTGTTTTTTTAATGTTTAACATTCTTGCTTCACTGATGTAGAATACCAAAGGCCTATGGGCTCTCTTGCAAGACAACAGTCTATATGTAAAAGTACACATTAACAGAAGGAATCAAAATAAAATGAACTTCAGAGAACATCCTACTTCAACAGAAATGAAAAAAAATATTCTAGTCTTCTTAAAAAAAAATCCATAAATCCAGAATTCTTAGTGCAGTGTTCACCTGCATGAGCACTCAGAACTACATCAGTGGGCCATGAAGTCCCAGTAAAGACTTAAAGCAGACTCACTTGTGCAAATAAATAAAACCAGGTACTAACACCTCATTAAGTTCAGGACTATAGAGAAAATAACTGATCACTTAAAATAATGTCTCAAAAATGTTTTGGTTTTATTTTTTAGTTCAGTATTTTTATTAAAAAAGAATCGAAAGCGGTTTTGTACTAGAAAGCATGTTGACGAGGTCAGTAGTTTGGTGTGTGTACACATGGCTCGGAAACAATGTAAAATCAATGGATTATCATTATTAGTAACATTGCATTCACTTCCTTAGTCTCCATCACAATGAGTGTCAGTGCATCCACTGCCAGCAATGGATAAGATTCATAAAAAGAAAATCCACTATCTCTTGTTCAAGCATTCAAAACTTCTAACTGCCACTGTGGCAAATTGCTCAAATTCAACTTTTTTTTTTTTTTCCAGATCCGAAGATTTAAACACAGAGCAGCTTTGAAATTTGAAGAAAAATCCTATATTTAGCACACTTTCTTGTTTCAGTATGTAAATTTTCAAATAAGAAATTTATGTTGTGGTATTCAGAGTCCATAAAATAGCATAAGCTTGCACATTAAGAAAACTCCTAAGCTGTTTTTCTCCCCATTACACAAAGTAAGCTGTGTTTTATGTGTCTCAGTGTTTCCAATTGATTTAGAATAACTAATTCCACAGATATAAATATAGTGGGCTAGATTAATTTTTCCAAGAGATTAAGGTACTTACACTACTTTGTAACTGTAATTTCCTATGGATTGTTCTGTTTGCGTATCATCAAGACAGCTTTGTGATATTACAGAATTATCATTTTGACATACCCTGATTTTTGTTACACATTGTGCATTTTTGCAAAGAGTTATACAATCTATTTAAGTAAGACTTGCTTTATGAAGAAATAATCTATCCTAGAAGTTACAGGTTCTCAATAGCACTTCTGTATTGTTTAAACAAACAAAAAAACCGCTATCACTTTTCCATGAGGAGACTCCAGTAACTAATCTGCCATAAAATGAAATATATGGTAATTTCAGTAGCAATTACTAGAATGCCTACTTTGTAGGCATTCAGGATTTAGTTTAGAAAAACAAATCTTCGACCTACACTTCTTATCGCTTTCAGATCAAAAATGTGGAGAGTAGTTTTTGGGAAAAAACTGTCTGTATGGTCTAATTGAACAATATTATGTAGAGCCATAAGTCATAGAAGTAGAACTCCGGAGAGCAGATGTGCTCTGAGAAAAAAACAAATTTGGTCTAAATATGATAATTTCACTAGAAGTTATCCAAACCCACAACCTCCTAAAGAATGTAATTGCTTTTTGTAATTGAAGCACTTCAAAAATCAACTCCCTTATATTAACAAAAGTATCACAACATGTAATATGAAAAAAAGCCCCTAGAAAAAGTTTCTGCCTAATATTCAATCTACCTTCATGTTTCTGTGCATTCATATATATAGATACATATTGTGCACATACTGATATTTAGTGCTACTTAAAATGAAGCGATATTGCAAATACTTCCAAAACACAGTGTGCTCAAGCTGCTAGAAAGATGTTAGCATAGGAGGAAAAAGAGACTGTGCATCTAAGGTTTGAACTCTGTACATATGAAATTGCTGGCAGCAGGGACTAGGACATTTTCAAAAAAGGAGGAGCAGAAAAATAAGGCTGTACTATATATTCAGTCTTCCCTCTGATATTCTGAAGCGTTCGGCATTCAACAACAATTTCACTAATGAAAAAGGTCTGTTATGGCTCATGCTCTACATTTGGAGAAGACAAACTTGCAAGGGAACAACTCCTGTCAGAGCCAGTTAAAGCTCTTTTATCAGGATGGACTGACTTGTATGTTTACAGCGAGTTTTCATGTGAGGAATCTCATTTCAGACAGTGTATAATCAGTCAAAATTCTGGTTTTCAAAGACATAATTGTAACAGAACTTTATAAATCAGGCATTAAGATGCATCTTAAACAACAATAAAACATGCCATTGTCTTTCTACTTTCAAGTACTATGGTTGTAAGTGTGAGGCATTGGAAATTTTAGGTACAAATCTTTTTAAAACTTAATTATTTTTGTTTTTTACAAAGAATTATAAAATGTATATAAGATGATGAAAAACTCATTTATCCTTTTTTAAGACTTTTATTCCTAAAGAACTTCTTGAAAAACATTATTTGAAAAATAAAAATCATAGACTCTGCAAAGTACAAAAATTTACATCTTTGCACAATTCCTGTGCTTTAGTTGTACTGTGTTCATTATATACATATATACTAATTTGTGCTTTTAATTACACAAGTTTAGTATAAACTTATAAAATTAAGTCTATGAGTTAACTATGCAAAAAGGATCTGGGAATAGCAGGAAACTTAATTCAACCATAAGTTAAAAAAAATAATCCTAAAAATATAATTTTAGTTAGTCTACTTCAGAGCAGACTATCATTATTATTACAATTTCCTAAACTAAAGTCAAATGTTTACAGCAAAAAATTATTCCTGCCTCCATATTTTTTGACATTATATACTAATACACATATCTGAATGCAGTATCATTCTTAGCCACAAAGAAAATTTTCCTTTATATCTGAACTCCATCGTTCTTCAGACTTGCTCTCAGTACTTCAATTTCCTTCCAGTTTCTAAAACAAACAAAAACAAGAACAAAAAACTCAAGGTAGACTATTTGAACTCAGGAACATGCATCAATCTACCACATTTGTAAGAGAGAATATCCAGGGTACAGAATTAAGCTGACAATCTTATTCCTCTAGAGTCTGAGTTCTTAGTAGTAAAACCTTACAGTTAAGAACTATTACATTTCCTTATCTGTCAAATCAATCTAGGTATTTCTTTTTAACACTATTTTAAAAAAATTAAGGACAGAAGGACTTAAATATCTGTATGCAGATAAACCTTCATCACTGTAGAAAACCAAGTCCTGTGAGGAAAGCGATTTTTGTCACTTCAACCCATGATGAATCAGAAAATGTAATTTCTGCATGTGGTTCTCACAGATCTGCAATGTTTTCAAGTGCACACCTTCAAGGGCATTTGGACGTACCTTGTCCAGTGCAGATGTTAAACTCAGAAGTTCTTGAAAATTTCTAGATCTTTAGGAGGTACTGGAGGTGTCTTGTTCCAGTCATCCTCAGGATAAGCTTCAAAGTTGGAAGTATCTCCATCATTAGATACTTTGGGCACTATGGGAGGCTAGTCAAAAGAAGCACAACAAAAATGTTAGTAGTCTCCTCAACGAGCTCCTCTCCATCATACTATTCGGTAAAAGATCTATTAAACAAATGGAGTACTGATTTACAGTTCACCTTTTCCCTAATAACAAATGGCATGAGAGAAAGGAGCTTGCAGCATCACATACACATTCTCACACTTTGTCAACTTTTTACATTTAAATAACGTGGTTAAAAGACTCTTAGATAATTAATACACTTAATACAGATACCTATACAGCACTAGCTTCTTTTCAACTAAGGATCTCCATAGCAGCATGGGAAATTGCTATCATAATGAAGGAAAAAAGCCTCCTCTTCACTGCTTTCAAATAGATTGATGGCTTTCAAAGAGGTTGAAATTACTAACTCCGTCTACCAACTGTGGCTTTTCCTAACCTAGTAAAAAATTGAAGCAAGTAAAGAAATTGCTTCACCATAACTCATTTCACAAGGACAGCTATAAAAGCAGCTTAATTCAAATGGTTTGTTTTTATGAAACTTGAGGGTGCCAAGCGAAGTTATCAGTTTTCTATTTGTTTTCACAGAGGATCCCTTCAATTTCTAGTATTTGTCATCAGCTTCACAGTACCTGTAGTTTTAACTTGTCTTAAATCTAACACTGAGAATACTACACACTTTGGCCATAGACTATAAGATAAAGATCCTTTCAGGAACATTTCATTAATTGCAGGTCCTAATGAAGGGCAAATACCTTTTACTCTCTCAAGGGACATTCATCTCTCTATCCTCTTCTCAGCAACTGAGAGCTTAAGTATCATGCTGAGTCCAACAGAACACTTTAAAATGAGAAAACCTTACAGATGATCACTACACTGGCTCAAAGTTATACCACAGAGCTATAAAGTATGGCAAAATGCTATTCTGCACGTCCTCAAAAAGATAAAAGTCGGGCTTCCACTAGCTCATGAGATCTTATCTGATCCTTTGGGCTTCTCAAAATGTCATCATCAGTAGGTTTTCAATGGGAAAGATGGGGTCCCTGTAAGATAGTACTTCTAACCTTCAGCCAAAAGCAGAGTCCTTATTCTGTGCCTGGCAGTCACAGTAATACTGCTCAGATGCTGAGGAAAATGTGCAGAATCTACTCTGCCCTGAGAACTGTCTGCTCCACTGTGGGCAGTGCCTGGTACCCCTCCTCCCTGTAAGCATTTTGGCAGAAAAAACACTTGTGTGAAGTGACCCACAGAAAGAAAGAAAAAACAAAAGAAAAGAGAGAAAGGATGACTAATGAAATTATTTTCTCTCTTTCAGCCACTGCTATTGTTTATATGATATTGAGGACCTTATTAGGACCATGAATAAATGCATCATTTATACAATAGACAAATTCACGTTTTTTACAGGGAAAATGGAGCATTGTGTGCATCATTTCATAGTTTCAATCTCTTAATCAGTATGAAATTATGAAAACAAATACTGAAGAACATAGCTGCCTCTAGAAATAACCAAATAAAATTCTGATCCACTTCACATCCCTACTCTTAAGTTTAATTAAGCACTACCTCATCTTCTAAGAGCCTAATGTAACCATTAACCAGCTTAATCACAAAGATTAAGAAACAAGTTTTGTATTCATAATAATCTGAATGCGATTGTGACTCTTTTTCAATTAATTTTTTAAATGAAAATGCCACACAAAGGATGTTTAGACCTGAGACGCTTGATGATAAATCTAACAATAATTTTTAATTCTAGTTGTTTTTTATTGCTTTGGTTGCCATAAACTTCAGTTTATATACTTATAAAGCAGGTTATCATCCAGGTTGTGTTCTTTGCATGTTTCAGTAAATAGAATTTATATGAAAAAATGAAAATGTGACTTCATTACAATACACAGACATAAAACATCAATCGGATGCAGTAATGATTAAAAATAAAACAAACCCAAATATTTAAAACACTATAAACCTATTTTTCTTAAAGAGGAAAGTCACCTACAGCTTTGTATTAGATATTGTTTACATGAAAACATCAAGAACACTTTAATAGTCTCTATTTTTTTTTCCCCAAGAACTCAAAGTATCTACCTGGAATTTAAGTGCAAGAAACTAATGCAAAGAATACTGTTGTAAGGAATTGTACAAGTTAGAAAACTCTAAAGAAGGAAAGAAAGAAGGCAGTTTTATTTCCAAAGGATTTTAAAAAGCATTTTGTGGTGTTGATAGCTTTGGGAAACATGTGCCACCATACAATACTAGAATTCAGTGCTATTAAAAAGTATGTTGGAATTACATTCATTAATCCTTCTCTTCCACCTTCCCTATTCCTCCTACTTCCATGTGCTTTACATTTTATTAAAACATTTAGGTAAATTGAACTTGGCACAAAAATATAAAGCCCAGAGTAAAATACTTCCATATATGTAAGGACAAGGAAAAAAAGAAAAAAGAAAAAATTCAAACCAACAAATTATCAATCCCCTCCACCTCCCCAAATAAAAACCCACTTAGAACAAGTAATCACTTACAAAATCCTAAACCTGAAAACTAAATTTTGTATTAACTAATCAACTTCACTAAACTAAAGCAGGGATTTTTTTTGACAGTTTGTATATAGACAAAAATGCAAATAGACATTCATACAATTAACTCTGCATGGCAAAAAGGCCAGTATGCATTTAATTACTAAGTGTGCATATAGACGTGGTTATACACACACAAACACACAGATGCAACAGCCAACAAACCTTCAACAGATCAGCTTAAATGAACAATGATTTCTCCTTGTGATGTCCTATACAGTATTTGCAGAATGTACCTTTAGTCTCCTTTGAGGTACAGCATCCCACTCTATAGACCTGAACCATCGATGTCTCTTCACATCATCTGCTCCATTCTTTAAGGAAAGAAATCAAAGTAACTATTTTTTTAAGGTACATGTATGCCAAAACATGTATTTCATTACAAGGACTGTGATATAAAAGAAGTCTATCCCTTTTTCTTCATTTCAAGTGATAACCATTAAAAGATTTTAAAGGGTAGATTCGTAGCGTTAATTCCCTAGCAGGTCCTGAGTTCCAGCAATAAAACCCAATTACTTTTAATTTGGGGTTTGTTCAGGCTTTTTCTAGCATTCTTCTGACACAGTGGAGATCAACAACAGGCTTTAAAATAACCACAAAACCACTCAGTACAGTCCTATTTACTTTTGTTTTCTCCAACATTTTAGAGGATGCCTTTTATTCAGATATACTTTCTGATTCTTGCACTTTAAAAGAAAATAACTGGGGGTTGATGGTGTTTTAAATAAAAATAATGCCCAGGAAGGACATAGTTTTTTCAAATATTATAGATATTTAATGCTGATAGCAAGAAGTTCTCAGTACTGTTATGAAAGTAAATATATTAAAACATTTGTTTTCATTTTAGATATACAGTTAAAAGCGTGTTTGCCTTGTAATGATTATTCTCTGTGGGGTGCCTGTTTTATTTATGTACATAAGAAACAAAAATGTCTCTTTTTTTTCATTATTAAGCTTGTTTCAACCACAGACCTGTTCTCAAGGTATTAAGCACTAAGGAAAAACAGCTGGTTCTCTGCTTCAGGCTTAATCACAGCACAGCACTCAAGATTATACCATGTACAGCTCCACAAAATGAAGCATTATCACACATTTGGATTTCTTCAGATTTATGTGGAGTGGGACTATCCATGCTCATATCCAATGAGGCATCAAGGAGAACCATATCATCTAGCTCCCTCAAAAGCAGATCTAACTGAATGCTTCACCAGGGAATGTTCAGTGGGATTTACATCTTTTTAAACCAATTTATGATCGTAGAAGACTCAGACAGAACTGCGAGTGCTCCCACCCCAAAATCTGCTTTTAATTAGAGCCGTTTTTGATATTATATTCAACTGTATGGAAAACTCCAAAACAAACCTAAGCAACCACAGACTGAAAAAAAAACCTCCCAAAACAACACAAAACTCAGTCAAACACATTTACCAAAGCCCATGTTTAAATAAGATTTGCTTTTGTTCTTGTTTTCCTTCAAAACTGTCCAAAGATATAAAAGTTTTCACTGGTAAATGAGTTTAAAAATTTTCAACTTAAGAAATCCTCCTGAAAAACACTACAAAGGATTCTGAAGGATAAGAAGAACATTATTTCCCGTATTTTCTTACCAGTCTAAATTTGTGCCATAAAAAGCTCCAAAAGAAAACACTGGACAGCTCGTTAAAGTATTTATACTTATATCAATATGTTACGAAAACCCTGGATGATTGTGCACCTTTTACCTTTTTCACCTATGTTTACTATTCAATGTGATTTGGGCCAAAAAGCAAACCTCCAACATCACTTGCCTAGAGAAATAAAAATTTTAGATGTCTCTGAAGAAATGAAATATTATACAATCTAATTTCAGTATCTATTTTCTTCATAAATCTGTTCAGATTAGGGTAAATAATTCTTCCTGGTGGAAGAGTATTTGACTGTGCTTAATCAGCCCCACCAAGACAATGACCAGGTATTGGTACAGCAATCCTTATACTCCTAAATTATTAAAATTAAAAAGAAATTTTAGACTTCAGATTTGATTAGTGGTCCTTCTGGGATTAACACCCCCACAAAAAAAGAACCAAATGAGGGGGCATCCTGTACTACAGGACTTAATATCACGTTTCTGCTCTAATCTAGGTTTTCACATTAATGAAGGGGTGGTGATGGGGGTGGTGGTGAGGAGAGAGGGAAATCATCATAAAGAATAGCATTAATCCAAATAGGAGAATGGTTTTGAGAAAACCAGAAATATACAGGTTAAACTTTGCATTTAGGATTGCATAACTTAAGTAATGTATATAAAACTGCATCTGTTTCATGCTCATAAAAAACAAAAACTCTATGAAGAGCTGGTCTGTATATTTTCAACAGAATTCTTTCAACCTTGTGCTGTATTACACTAAAGATTTTATACTCACCTTCATATTTCCTAGTCGTCTTGTTCTGTCAACCACAAGTAGCTTCTTAATAAGGTCTCTGAAGTAAAGAAAACATGTACTCTGTTAAACAGAAGTAATTTATATTTGACTGTCAAGTATTCCAGAATACAGACATGCTTCCCTTTGACCCATTCATTTCCTCATATTTTAGGATATTTAAGAGTAAACAAGAAAAAAATCTAAGAATTCTTGCAGATTTCTTTTAGATTCTTCCAAGAAACAAAGGAAAAAATCTCTCTCTCTCCTTCCATGCCTCTTGCCAAGTAGCACCATTTCGGTTTTTGTATTTTGCTGAGAATTCTAAATCTCAAAATGGATCTCCAATCTGTTTGTCAGAATTCAATACTAATATATATTAAAAAAAGCAGATAAAGCTGCAACCTCATCTTTATGCTAAATATCCAGAGAAACCATGGAAGAGATACTCATCTGCTTAAAACTAGTAACATCTATAATTTCACTGTAAACAAAAAGCCTCACCAAGATACTGGTTCATTGAACAGTTCTAAGTAAAGCTACATCAACATTTTAAAAGATTAAAAGAAGTTTAGTGACATAAAACTCTTCAATTTTAATAGCAAAGTACTTCAAATATTAAGCCTCAAACAACTATGACATAAACAAAAGTGTCATGATTTATGGAATTAGCTTGAATACTTATGAGTTGAAAGAAAAATATGGCTTCTAACTTCTATATATAGTTACAATTTATCTCAAATCTTATTTTTCTATTTGATTTTAGAAAAATGGCATTCTGGACTAGTTGCATAAAGCACCAATGACAAGAAAGAACAAAAGTTTACCCATCCTTATTTCAATAATCATAAGCAGCCCTGACAGATGACGTACAGCATGAAGTGCTGGAGATTGAAGAGTATGGCTAGTTCCAATTTTTAACAATATGAAACTATGGCTAGTCTCAATTTTTAACAATATGAAACTTTTTTTTAACAAAAAAATATTTACAGAAAAGAACACAAACATAACAATGACACACCTGCTTCTCTCCATCCCTACCTGTAATGTCGACTATCCCTTTCAAAAATAGCATTGTGTCACCTATCTAGAAATCACAAAAGTGCATGCAGAAAGAACTGAATGTACTAGAAACTGTATAAAAAGCTGTTGTATTTGGCAGGAATATAATTTTAAAATTCAAATGGAAAAAAAAATTAAATTACCAGATATACAAATAAAAAGTTGATGTAAAAAGCCATTTAAAAAACTCTCATGATTGTTCCAGACAATCAATATTTGAATTAGAGTAAATCATGTGACCAACTCTTTTTACAGTCACCTTTGTAGAAATATCTCTTTCTACTTCACAAAGAAGACCATTCCTTATGGAAAAGGCTACAAAGATGGCTACAAGCACACTTAAAACAGAAGTAGTATTGAAAAGTAATCCAGAAACCCAAAAAGATTAATGGAGTTTATGGCCTAAGACACACTCCTATTCCTATAAAACCAGACAACATTTCATGGACCATTCTTGGCTTGCTTCAAAAATTCATCATAGAACAGTTAAGGGGTGAGCTTTCTTGGTGATACAGTGTTGTCACTAAAGATGATACTTGCTGCATTGGACCACTGAAATATCCACTGAATTGAAACAAATAACAGATGGTTTAGTAGTTCTTTATTACATTGGTTCTAAAAAAATAATTTAAAAGTATGTTAAAATTCATTCAATAGATATGCTGGTGTATATATTTGGAGAATCAAATTCTACATTAATTCTCCAGAACAGTAATCAGTAAAATCCTGTAATGGTGACATTTCGTTTGGAGTTTTCCAAAACTGGCTTTGCAAAAAAAAAAGGTTTAAAAAAGCATTAAGAAAGAGTGTAATTCATCACAGCAGCAGGAGGGAAAGCAGAAGTGATACAAATTCAGAAAGTAAAAAGTATGGGAGGGTGATGGGGCTAAGTGAGTAAAAAATGTCAATGCCTGTAAGCTCAGGTAGTACATATCCCTATCACTTCTATCTCACAGTTCAGAGATGGAAATAGTTTTGCTGCCTCAGAATGGAGAGTTAAAACACTGTACAGTCTGGATGTGACAGGACCCAAGTCTGGCTGAAATACTGACTTACTGGAAGAAGAGAGAGAAAACAGATGAGTTAGAAGGTAAGATGCAGACTGCCTTCATTGGACAAACTAATCTTGGCACTTGCTTTAAGCAAATGATGCAGAGACATTCACAGACTATCCAGTTCTGCATACTGTAGTTAAAAGGAAGAAAGAAATGCTGACATCCAAGACACTGTGCTCACAACTAACTTCAGAAAGCAAGTGAAGCCACAGAAGCATTGTGGCCAGCAGGACAGAACAGTGATTATCTCCCTCTACTTGTCAGTGGAGAGCCCACACCTAGTGTCTCTGTGTCCAGTTCTGGGCCACTCACTTCAAGAAAGACACTGAGATGCTGGAGTGTGTCCAGAGAAGGGCAATGGAGCTCGTGAAGGGTCTGGAGGTTGTCCTACAAGGAGTGGCTGAGGGAGCTGGGATTGATTAGCCTGGATAAAAGGAGGCTCAGGGGCAGCCTTATTTGTCTCTGTAAGTGCTTCCACTATATTGGATGGGTTGTTAGTGATGATAACCTCATCTGAGGTGTTTCACCTTCTGATCACAATATTATAGTTCAGTGCACAGAATACTACAAGAGAGAATCAATTTTCTCTCCAAGATCAATTGGATTAGGAAGACCAGACAATGAGAGTACACTAAACTAGAAACAGCGTGAAGCTACTGAGAGAAAACTGTTACAAAGGGACAAAAATATGAGACACTTATCAGCCTAAGGGGATGCAGAGATGCTTCATTCAGTGCACTCGATGATTCAGTGGAAGCTTAAAAAAACCAAACAAAAAACCAAACAAAAAAATCTTTCTCAAATTATTAGCTTTGCTTGTGTCTGCTTACCCAGTAGTGATAATAAGCAAGTGCCTCTCTAAGGTCACCATCAAAACATCACCAGTGATTAACACAGGAATAACTTCCTGTCTTCACTTCCTCACTCATTTATTCAATTACCTTGGGTTCTAGGAGAAATTTCACTTTTATAATTGCATTTCCTCTGTTTCAGTGTTTACTAAATTATTTCATTAACAGAATTTTCAAATCAGAAAAAAACTTATTTCATCTGCAATACACCTTTAAGAATACTGAGAATTAAACCCACATTATATGTATATGTAATACTACATATTGAACTGGGCCCCTGCTATCATAAATTTAAGTTGATTTTACACGAGAACTTCTGAAGTACCAGAGTTCTCTCAAGTAGTTATGCCGAGAGTGATTTAAGTGGTATGCATCTATAGATAGAAACAGTTTAGTATTCTCTTCCTGCTCTCCTAATTTTTACTCAATTACCTCCTCATATTTCTCCTCTTGACCTTCTTACAGTACAAGCCAATGGGGCTTGCACAAAGTGGAAAAGCATTTACTATCCCACAATACATAAAAGAGAGTCAGACATTATCTTACAACTGTATCACCATCCTGAAGTCTCCAAATATGTAAGTTTATTTGGACTGAAAGTGCAAATGTAATATAAAATATTTTCCAACATGATGTTTCAGAAAATTGGAATCTGAAACCAGGTCTAGAAAGATTTTTTAGAAACAGTGCTCAGGAGGTATTTAGAAAAGACAGTGTTGGAAGTCATTGACTTACTTTACATATAAATCCAAATGCCTCGGGAAATCTATTTTGCCAGCAAGAATCTTCTGATATATACCAAATGGATTATCATCAAAAAATGGAGGAAACCTATTTTAATAGAGAAAATTTTCAAATGTTAGAAAAAGAAATTCTAGAAATCTTATAAGCTTATATTATGTTATAGCTATTCCCCTCAGAAATAATTGATTATATTGTTCTTTTTGGTAGGACACTACCAAACAAATACTATATTGAAAAATAATTTAAGGCTGCCATTGTAAAACAGAAAACATTTTTGTATGTAATACACTATGCAGAATTAAAATTTAAATACAACAATAGAATAGGAAAACATAAAATGCTACATAATTGCAGTAAAAATATAATTTATGAAACAAATTTTCAGCGTTAAAAGTAAAAAATGCTTTGCCTTTATCTCTAAAAACCAGGGATATACTCTCCAAAAGAGCATTACCATTTTTTATCTTGTCCTGTAACTGCAGGCCCTTATTTACCAGTTTCTGTCTAAAGTGCTAAAGGACCTTCACACAAATATATTATCCAGTTCAGTTATTTGTTCAGTTATGTTGTACACCTTGAATGCAAGTATATGTTTTGCTAGATAAGGTTTTTGGAACAGTCACACTGCTCACAACTCTCCAAGTGCAGTTGCTTTCCTGAGTGGGATAGATAAAAGTTTTCATTTCATAATCTTCCCCACAACAAACAGTACATTAATATGCCATTAAAATTCTACATTTATGTTTTCTATGAAGTTCTTCATGAAGCTATGAGCTAACAGAGAGGCTACTTCTTGTTGTACAGCTACAGCATGAATAGAAAGTTTTCTGCTGCGCTTCCTTCTCTAGTACAGCACATTCCCGATTGCAAGAGATGCATCAGTACAGCCAGTACAGGCAGCTGAGCCCAAGTGCCAACAGCTTTCTGTGTCAGTCAAGTTCTTAAAAGTTACCACAGAAATCCTTTCTAAGGGAATGGAATAACGCATTCAATAATCTCAGTCCTGCTTTGTCCTCCATAACATGACCAAAGCAACCCTCTTACTATGCTTCTGCCTCAAAATCTCTACAGAATTTTAAAAATCCACAGATTTTGAGTGTTCACCATATTAATTACATGCAACCACTATTAATGTTTAAATAAAATATTTTCACATCTCCCTAAAATTCCATAATTACTTTTTCAGAGAACTTAACTGTGTGCATACACAAACAAATACAGTGGTTGTGGCTCTGGAAATCACTGATAGCATGAAAACAAGGATAAAAACAACAGTCCTTCACTTCAGGCTCTTTTAAAAATTTTATAGTAGTCAAACTAGCTTATTCTTCAACATGTACTATACATTATTTCCATTACGTTTTCAGAAGTATTAATTTGTTCATTATTCAGTTGATGATCCAGTGGATTAGCATTCCCTTTGAAATACTGTAAATTTTGGCCATGGTAATGATCAAATTCCATGAGAATAATTAAGCAAAAGTGTCTGGAGGCTTATGGTAAAAAAACCCATAATAATTGAAAGCACTGAAAAGCACGACTAAACTATCTGGTTAGGGAAAGACTAAAGCATATTTTTTGTTGCTGCTCAGAACACCAGAGTACTTTCTTTATACAAAACTACTTTCCCAGCTAACTGGAAAGTGGAAGATTCTCAGGAATAACACTTGTGCTATTAAAAATTCCTGCTTTGACACTAAAGACCAAGGAAAACATGATTGCTATTTAACATGCACAAGTTTTTCCCACACAAGAAGGACTATCATATAAAGTTTCTTTTTTAGTCAAGAAACATAAATATCATTCACATTCTCCACAGCAAGTTGACAAACTCAATTTTCTATTATCTATTAGAATCTATAAATGCATAATGCAATTAAAATATTTTGTAACTACGTATTACATAGCTGCCAGCTGCAGTAACAGAAGTACCTATACGTTTTTCATATTTATATGTTTGAATTGCCCTTTGCTTTCCCACTTTGAAAATCCAAAATTAGTACGTCTAGAGTTCTTGTGAAATGTAAATTTAAATCACAGTTGGCTGTACAGTAATTTTATGGCAATTCTGCTTAAAGTGCATTTGAACTCTATGCAAAATGACAACAGCTTTGAAAGATTGCAGTTTTCTCATGGACAAACCAAGTAACTTGATTTTGATGCTTTTTGTAAATGTCAACCTTCAACACAGCACAGATTTCAGACAAAACAAAGTAAGTATTGTGCTGGAAGCTACCTAATAAATCAAGAAAAATCCTCTTGAGTTTCAGACTTTCTTCACACCACAACACAAATACAAACAGCTGCCTTTTCACCAACTGAAAAGAAGCTACAAAAAATATCATCTCTGTAAACAGGAGAACAGCTGCAAACCATTCCTTTTGCTAACTGAACCATAACAATGGCATGGACATAAGTTTCAAAACAGTCTTGAAGAACAGAAGTTGTAAAACCTCAAGAGAAAACACACAGGTCTGAGAATATGAAATTGCAGACAGGAACCATTAACCTACCTAAAATGGCATATCAGCACATCACATATGACAACCAAAGCAAAAATAAAAAACACACTAATAACAGCACAATTACAACCTAACATACCTAATGTTAAATAACAAGTATATTTTTCTCTGCATTAAATTGTAACAGAACTCATTTACTCAAAAGAAATAAATGTTCCAACTCCTGTATTGACAGTTTGTTTAGCTTGTTTAGATTACCTCTATGAACTTGGTGTTATTCATCTGTTAAGATTTCTTCTCACCCTTGCTTCTCCCTGTTTCTTCCCCTTTCTGTATCTTGTTATGTTAATCCTAAACAAGACCTTGCCTTAAATCTAGTTTGTGCAGAAGAAAAATTCCATGGGCCTCCGGAGATTAAGTTAGGGAAATAAGACCCTGTAGAACAGGAAGGTGTGGGTTTGTTTGTTTGTTTGTTTTTAGAGATGCCATTTCCTTACACACACACCTACCAGTTCTTTTCAATTGCTTTTGGGCTTCAGAGAGACTAACTTCAGGAAATAATTATAAAATGCTTTACGTTAATTTACTTGCAGACAGTAACTTAATCTTGAAGTCAGGTTTTGTTCACCTCCAAAATATTTTCAGATTTCCTAAATCTTCTTTGAATTTTGATGGATAAAGTTAACTAGGATTGTTTCTGTAATAAAAGCCTTGATAGTGAATATCTAGCCAGATCTTGAATTGCTGAGGAAAAGTGCTTCAAAACACTATTGCCAAGAACAGCAAAAACGGTAAAATGCTAAAAGCATACATATATTGTGACCAACCTTCCCATCTAAAGGAAACAGATACAAACCATAATCCCTGCCCTCCTTTAACACCCTAAAAAAAAAAAAAAGTAGTATCTATCTATACCCCCATCTTAAAAAAACTCAAAACAAACAAAAAAACCCCAAAAACAAACCTCAAAATGCAATCACCCCAAACAAATAGGCTTGCATGGAGTCCATATTCCAACTTTGAAAAATGACTGAATGCTGCTGTGTTTTATTTTTAGTGCTGGACGGAGTCCCTATCCAAAGCAGCATTCAATCATTATGAAGAGCATGTCTATACAAGTACTGTAATAAAAAAATCTTAGAAAATCACACACAGGAGACAGCTGGCTCTGTCATTCAGCCTATATAAAACTTCGCTTGACTTTCAGGAAAGTGTAAGCTATATCTATTGGTTAAAAGTCTCTAAAAGTCAAGGTGTTCATATTAAGCCACCTCCCTCCTATCCCCCCACCCTGAAATCCAGGTCTCATCCCTTGAGCCAGACAGTATCATGATGCAGAAGATCCTACATAGAAACAACAGCAGCTGCTCTCTTTTTTCATGAACAATATGTACCAGTCATATTTCAGTAGAATATACAGCATATATTTCATACTTCAGCACCCTGCAGTCTTGAGGTCTTAATGATTCCAAATATCTAGCTTGATTGCCACCTGTAGCCAGTATGTTAACTCTCCAAAATATGTTTCTATTAGTGGTCCAGTGGGGAGAAACCTACCAACATCTCGGTAAGGCATGCAAATAAAAAAGGGACAAAATCCACTACACTGAGACCACACAGACTTAACAGAGTGGTCCCTCTGAAACCCGTGGCAGGAAGGTAAATCACAGCTGGATGACTGCAGCACCTGCTCTCATGTTACAGCCCAGACACTTTTATCTACAATCTTCCTGCTGTCTAGGACTAAGATTAGTGGCAACAAGCTTGATGGGAATCTCTTTTTTCTCTCAGAAAATCTTTCATCTCTCTGCAAAGGATTCTTTTGACCAACTTGGGCTGCTCAACTTACAGGAAGCAATGGAAGGAAGGTGAAGCCTAGTCTCTGTACAGATCAGCCTACATAAACAACAACTTCATATTAGACCAGTCAGGCAAGCCTGCCTGGGTCAGCCAACAGCTATCATATGTTTTTATTGCTTTTCTGTCGACAAATTGCCACGACATTCAAAATCAATGTATCTGCAAGCGTTCAGGACATTAAGAAAGCAAGCAGTGGGTAGCAAGGCTGTGCTAAGTAAAGTTGTGTTGCTATTGGGTGAACTTCACAGCAGCACACGCAATGGATTAGAGCTCTGAAGTGACCACTCATCCAATCAGGGAAACTACTCCCGCAGGCAAACTTATGAGCTTGGCCAAACACTGAAGAGTCACACCAAAGTCACTTTGAAATGACAGTACTGCACAGAGAAAAGGATGAATAAATCCAAGCAAGGACACTTGGTTCTGATCATTCTACAAGGCTGCAGATTTATAAGGAAAGGCCACAGAGGACACCTGACACAGGTGGGGACCAAGGAGGTGTAGAGCACACTGAGCCAGGTACCAGGCAAAAATTCTAAGAACTATGAAATCAAACTGCTGAAATATACTCTGTTTCTTCAGAAGCTAGGAAACCCTTGCTTTCATCTGCATTTGTCCTATAACACCCACTATGGCAAAGCCAAAACTCCAAATCTTCTTTAGAAGTTCCCTCAAAAAACAACCAAGACAAAAAAAAGTAAAAGGAAAACGACACAGAAGCCTTGTTTAGCACATAAGCACGATTTCACATTCTACCTAAATAAGTTACTTATTTTAACGAAAAAAATATTTTTTTAAATCAGAGTAAATTGAGAATATTACTTTTATCTAATACTAACAAGTCATAAACAATTATTTATATTAATGCCCCAAACTGTTTCTTCTGTTTAAATTTTTATCTTCTGAAAACATTGCTTATCAAGCAAATTCCAAAACACCAAAAGCAGCACTTGAGCAAAATTATTTCAAACAGACCTATAAAGCTTTTCCCTGTTCTTCTTCCTCTGGTTTAAAGAAAACCAGTGTTTAGTTGTAATACAAACTATATTAATAAAAGTCTTCCTACTTGCAGCAGTGCATTTTTACAAATGCACTGTTAAAGCTCTCACTGTAACTAGGATTTCCCTACACTGGAAATTAATTACAGAAGCAGTCCTGTTCTTTACCCTTGAAATATAAAGGACCTTGTGAATAAAAATCTAAACTTCGGCAAAACTTGAATTTCCACAACACATGAGGAAAAGGGAAGCTGTTAAAAAAGTCTTATGTAAAAATTAAAAAAAAAAACAAAAAAAACAAACCAAACAGAAAACCCAAACCCAAAACAAGAAACAAAACCAACGAACTCAAAACCCTAAAACAATCCCATAATAACAGTGATATATGTTCTTTTGTAAAGCTTCCCAATTTCTTTCTTCAAAGGCACAAACTAAACTGGTATATCAATAATAAATTTAGCCAGGATTTGCTAATCCAATATTGTAAACAGAACTAGCAAATAATTCTCTATTACATAATAGTGCTGTGATAGAGTAATTATCACTTACCCTGACAACATCTCAAATATAAGAATTCCTAGGGCCCACCAATCCACAGCTCTTCCATGGCCTTTACTTTGTATAACTTCTGGTGCAAGGTACTCAGGAGTGCCACAGAGAGTCCATGTTCTGGTTGTAAAAGAAGGAAAAAAAACAACACAAAACAAACAACAAAAGCAGATCAAAGTGGAACTGAAATAACAGTAATAGGAAAAACCAAACACACACATAAGAAGTATCCAACATATACCTATGTATTTACTGCACAAAGAAACAGAGAAATAAGAAAGGCCTCTACAAGATCTAAACAGACTACTTTGATGATGTTCTCCAATTCTCCTGCAACAGAGCTTTATGCAAATTAAGGAACTTCCTGTCTCAGAAAATATCTGTGCACTGAGTTTCCCAGCTGGTGCTGTGGCATTCTACCATTAGACTATACATTGCTTTGAATTATTAACAGTGCTTTTTACTCTGTAAGGTGCAGACCCTGGGAGTTCATGGACTACTTCTGATGGGCCCAGCAGAAGACAAGCTTGATGGCCTTTTCCAGCAAAAGAAAGGTTTATTTTGGGAAAAAAAAAGAAAGGAGGGAGTTTGTAAAGAAGTAGTTGTTTAAACCAGTAAATAGTTGCACATACCTGATTTGTTTTACTAAGTAAAGTTTTTCAAATAGGACTGAAATCTAACCTGTCATCACTTCCACAGTATTCATTGAAAGGGAAACATTTTGTATTTTTAGTTATTTAAAATATTTAGAAAGTGTAATTAAGCACGTGTGAGATAACTAGGCAATACTTTTTGTAATATATTTTAAAGTAATTTTTAGTCATCATTGCCTTCTATGGTAAGGTCAAAAGAAAACTGTTATATTACTAACTAATTGAAGCTCTAATTCTATATAGACAAGAAACAAATTGAAGCTAAGCAGTTATGTTTACAAAGACCAAATTACATTTGAAAAGAATAATATTCTGAAATAATTTTTTCCAGAAATCTGGAGTTTTCTTTGTAAAAATACCCATGTAGAATTTACCTGGCTTCACCCCCTTAACTTAGGTTTAAATGTACACTTTAGAAAAAAACTAAAAATGTGCTCTTATTTTGAATAAATTACCCTTCCTCAGCAGCAAGTCAGAAGATGAAACTTTGAAAATGTGCTCACCAATTCAAGAAAAACTGAAATCACAGCACAGAGTGAAGAAGAAAACTGCATCACATTTTAAAAGGAGTTCTAGAATATAGTGACAAATGGTCACTGCACATGATTTCTAACTTGCACCAAAAAAACCTGAGCACTTGTGAGAGGAAGAATTTTCTCCAATCAAACTGGTAACACACTCCTGAAGAAATGCATTCAGATGAACAGCAATCACCTTTAGAAGTAATACTAACTTACTAATTCAGCTTCTTTTTCTGAGGATGCAGGGAAGATGACTGTTCCACCCTACTCTGTGCAGACACTGCCTCATCTTGAGCCCTTTGTGCACTTTTGGGCACCACAATGTAAAAAAGACATTAAGCTACTGGAGAGTGTCCCAAGGAGGGCAATGAAGATGGTGAAGGGTCTGGAGGGGAAGCCTTATGAGGAGGGGCTGAGGGCACTTGTTCATTTCAGACTGGAGGGGACTGAGGAGAAACCTCACTGTGGTCTTCAACATCCTCATGAGGGGAAGCAGAGGGGCAGGCACTGATCTCTTCATTCTTGTGATCAGTGACAAGAAACGTCATGAAGCTGAGTCAGGAGAGGTTTAGGTTGGATATTAGGAAAAGGTTCTTCACCCAGAGGGTGGTTGAGCATTTGAACAGGCCCCCCACGGGAGTGACCACAGCACCAAGCCTTGCAAAGTTCAAAAAGAGTTTGGAAAATGCTCTCAGACACATGGTGTGATTCCTGGGGATGTCTTGGGCCAGGCCAAGAGTTGGATTTGATGATTCTGATGGGTCACTTCCAACTAAGCATATTCCATGATACTTAGAAATATTTTAAAGAGAGCTTTTGGGATTCTTTTTTCAGTTGGTTAGTTTTTGTAAGCCTTAGTCTTGATTCATTAAAGTAGTTAAGGTAAAGGAAGAGGAGCTGTAGAGTCAATTAAGGTTTTAAATGAAGAATTCAGTTTGGTATGGCAAAAGCCAAATTACTCCAGCTAGACTGTTGGAAATGTTAGGCACACTTTGCATCCAATGTGCTTCAAGGTTCTTGAAACTACATTCCCCAGTGTAAAGAATACATCTTTAATTTTTATCATTAATTCATCTAAAAAATATAAACTCTTATTTTTCAAATTGAGCATACTGAATTTTTACATACAGTGCTGCTTTACACTACTGCCATCTAGCAGCTACCTAGATCAGGACTATGGAATTAAGAATAACAGCAAAGCTGTCATCTTTTAAAATGAAGTATTTCTCCCTCTCCCAAATTTAAAAAGTTGTATCCATCATGTGACTTAATCATACTGATTTAGGCAGCTAGGCAAATGAATCAGCTGACAGTTTTACTCAATTTTTATTCAAGCAAGAGGAAAACTGAATTAAGGCCAACATAACTTGAGGCCTCATAGCTGCACTAGGAAATAAAATTTATTACCACCACAGTAACTACTTCCTTAATTTCAATCAAGAAATGTATGTTTACTAACTACACAAAAACTTGGAAGAAGCTCATGCTCTTTTTTGAGATGTGTATTTGTGCCATAAGATCATGACTGGTGTTTCCTCTTTTGTTGATCATGAAACAGACTAGTTAGTATTTTGGAAAACACGTCAAGTAGATGCTACAAAAAAGGTAATATTTTAAATTATTTTTATGATTACTATTTTATGACTACTGCATATGCATCTGAAATTCCAGATAACTTTTCTGAAGATAAATTACAGTGCAAAAAAGTAAGAATAGACTGTTCCCTTCAAACTGCTACAAAATATTCACTGTTCCGAATTTTCAAAATAGAAGCTGAAACACACGTAAGTGCTAATTAATAAGGTTGAATATGCAATTTTAAAACATGAAATACAGAATCTACTCCGGTTTGAAGGTAAACTACAAGATAATTTGGTGAAACTTTTGAAGAGTACTGTGTGAAGAAGTTCAGTCTTGATGGTTAATGTGTTTTAGCATTTTACACCATTCAGCATCCATCTCTGTAGTGCCTGACAAACCTTTTGCACATGAGCCAGATTAAAGACGTTTGTTTTGGTATTCTGGCAGTTTCTCTATAATTATATTTAACAGAGATTGCTTTGTATCCAGTCAACAAAAATTGGTTCGGCAAGACATTCTTGCTTGCTTCTTTAGTGACAAAGGGTATACTCTGCAAACTAGACTTACTGTGTCTTACTTAGTCTTTCTCTCTTCAATCCACTGTGTAGAACAGTCATGAAGCACATCCAGCTTAAGCAACAGTGCAAACTATCTCAAGTATGTTTAAGATTAATCACTTCTCAAGTTTCTAGAAAGACTCACAGGTAAGTTTCTTTTTTAGGAATGTAAACTATATAAACTAAAATTAACAGTGAATAACATTCCAGGAAAAAAAAAAATCACTCAAGTCTTAATTTTACCTAAAATGTTTATAACTTTCTGAATGAAATCCATCCATAAAAAACCCCATAAAATTCCATGCAGATTAGCTGTGTGCTTCTCTGAAAGAACATGGGAATTAAACCCCAACCCCCCAAAAAATAAAAAAAAAACCCCAAACACCCAAATCAAGGTGAAAAATACCCAACCAAAAAACGCACAAAAAAAGGAAATCAGATTAGAAAAAAATTTTCAATAAAAATATTATACCTAAAAAGCAGCATATGCTTTTCAGAAAGAGAAAGGTCTAAAAATTCTTTTTACAGCCTTCAGGTAATAGTAATTTATAAAAACCCCCTCCCCAACTTTCTTCTTGACATTGCCCTTTTTAAAAAGTAGTCGCCCATCTATTTTATATTAATGTACTTACAAGAAACTGAAAAGGTTATTAAGTCTTCAGTTAAGCAACATCAAGGTGGAAAAGAGAAGAAATAAACAGCAGCTGAGGCAAAGACACACTGTTTTGGAGAAAAATTTAGAATTTTTAAACGCACACTATGAGTGAAAAGGGAGGAACAAGGATAAACAGAAGGACATACCAACAAGGAACAGAAGGAGCAAAGAAAACCTCCTCTCTTTCCTCTGTCTCTAAAAAGAAAATATTAAGAGTCTAGCCCTTCTGAAATCGTACTAATAAGAAGGTACAGGTGCAGGCTGCTTTCCACAGTGGGAACATGAGCTATGAGCCAGACACACTTTCTGAAGAGCAGCTTAAATGTAGAGGGACATGGTGAATATTTCATCCCTTCACATATGGTAGTGGGAAGAAAGGAAAACGTCTTCAGAAAAACCTCAATTAGTCAGCTACAGAATCATTCAAGTGAAGTATGATGTATCTGGAATGTGCAATTGTATCCAAGGTGTTTTGCAGACCGTGTTTTCATTTATGTGTTAAGTCTTCTTTCTATGAATGCCTTCACTGATCCTGAGAGCAAGTTACCTTACAATGTTTGAGAAACATAAATACTTCATGTCTCATTTTTGCCATTCATGTATGCTGTGTATGTGCACACATCTATACGCTCACTGACACCCACACACGTAAGATTCATGTGTACAGGTACTTGCCATGCTTAAAAATGACAAAATATCTCCTATAATTTTGATCAAACAGGCTATGCTATAAACAAAAACACCAACTGGAGTGAACTAGTGGATAAAGGGCTAATAATTGTGTATTTTTACATAAACAAATGTTGGTGACAAAACCAACTTTGCGAAGATGACTTCAGCTAGTGGAGAGAATACTACGTAGTTTCAAAAGAAACACAATAACACAAAAAACTAAAACAGATTTGCATAGGTAACTACCTGCGCTCTAACTGATAATGTCCTTGCTCTTCCAATTTTATGTCCTGTATTTATGTTACCTCTTGTACATTTGAAGGTAAATCAGCTATGAATATAAAACTACTATAATCTTCTATGACTCAACACAAACTGATCACTTCACTACCTCCCAAGCAATATGGGAAATACAAACCCAATTAAAACCAGTCATGATAACTAAGTTTGATACCCTAAAATATATTTGAACCAATTTACTCTTAGCGATTCATCTTCCAGATTTAAAAATTCAGTCTGACGTGAACTATCACTTTATTTAATGAAGGGTTACTTCTCTTGTGCCTTAAACCCACAGAAATACAAAACAAGAATTACCACTAAGTGGCAGTATTTACATGTAAAGAGCAAGTCGTAAGTATTTCTTACATGGATGCATGTTACGTCTTCCTACAAAGAGTTATTTTGCTATAAACACAAAGTATTAATTTAAAGACCAGCATTTGTAGGTCTTTTTGCTTGCCTAGTGGAAACTGAATTCAGATACTCAAAATTCTATGGTCTTAAAACAGATTTTCAGACCTTAAAGGTGAATAGAACTTCTGATTCTATTTTGTGATTTGTCTCATCTGACTTTTCCTTCACAATACATTCATTAAGCAGCTTCCTCAGACCCACTCTTGTTACCAATAAGTAAAACTTTACAAAAGGAAGGCCTTGTAAAATCATGGCTCAGGCCTGTTACTTTCGCTAAGTAGAAAAGGATGGTGTGAAAGAGACTGCTGAATTAGGGGTAGAAAAACAAGTTATATAATCATTATGTGTTCACATCCTGGTGTATGGTGGTTGGTTGAATTATTTGTTATTATTTAAAACTATGCAACTGATAATGGGCTAACAGTTTAAAAAGGCCTGGTTTGTGCAATAAAGCAGCTCTCCTTTGCACCTGACTGGGGACTCACACACTCTCCTTTCAAACTCATCTTGTAGAACTCTCCTCACACACAGACTCGTTTGTTGCAAAAGCAGCATCAAACAGGTTGATGACCAAAGAGGAAGAGCACCTGTGTAACACCTAACTCACCACTGTGCTGCCTCCATCAGAACAACCAAATACGGGTCTCCCTCAAGAGATGACTCAAAGGCGTAACATCAATCAAGCCTTGTCACACCACTCTTCTGATACAACAGCCTGGTTTTTACTGTCCCTTTTCTTCAATCTCAATGCTCTTGCTTACTCTTAAAAACATGTATTATGGTCTTGGAAGAACAGTCCAAACTGAGAGAACAGAGAAATTACTGGGAGGGAGTCTCTGCATTATCAAAAAGTTTACATCTGTAATTAAAGCTGACAGTAATACAGAAGCTAGACTTAAATAAATCGGTTCTGCTGAAGCTGGCCTTATGATTTCTGTCTAGATTTTTGCAGTTTCATTTTAGCCATAGGCTAGTGAAAATGCTGTATACAGTTTTAGAATGTTATTCTCACACTTCAAAAATCTCAAATAGGAAACCAGAAAACATGAGTAACAAAACATGTAGCAATTCAGTATGTATGGAGGATTAATTCACATATCTTAGCATCTGCTGACATTACTTCCCTGAAGTACATGACCGCTGAAAACTTAAATATATAAAACCAGCTATATAAAAATATTTTTCTGTTGCTGCTTATGCGTGATATTGGTCCTGGTTATACCTAAGGGGAAATACTCCTTTCCATACAGCTATTTTAAGATGATAATTTCCTTCATATTAAGGGATTTGACATGTGTGAATAACATGGAATGTTAAATCAAATGCTGAGAATCTGAAATCAAACATTTTTTTCCTAACTGTTTAGCATGCAAAACATAATTGCCAGAACAAAATCCCACTTACCGGTCCACCAGTTTTTTTGCAAATCCAAAGTCAGTAAGCTTGATATGTCCTTCTTTGTCTAGTAATATATTTTCAGGTTTTAAGTCTCTGTAAACTATTTCTTTGGAGTGCAGGTATTCTATTGCACAAATAATTTCCGTCGAGTAAAACAGTCCTGTGCTGTTGTTGAAACGCCCCATGTTGCGCAGGTAACTAAAAAGTTCTCCTCCTGGCACATATTCCATTAACATATATAAAAAACGTTCATCGTGGTTGGTCCAAAATCTGCAACAAAAGTATTTTTTTACTGAATAAAGAAATTATGTCTCTGATTTGCCTTGTAAGTAAATGTCTGTAAAAAGGCCTTTGCACCCCAACCATGTACAGAATCAAATTCTGATTCCTTGTCTGCAAATATCAAACCCCCAAGGATTCAGGATTATGTAAGACATTCAAGTAGTCACTTTAACCTGCAATGTAAACCAGATAGCTGAGGATCAGTAGAGCACAGGCCAAGAAATGAAACGGATAGATTCTGTTTTATTGTACAAAACAGGTCTCTTCTAAGCACCAAATAACTGACCTGATATAAAGATCAGACATTTTTTAACACACCTTACATTTTATATTATCAAGCATTACCAAAGTAATGGGAGTAGGCAGAATCTGCTTTTGTAAAGACTTTCATGACAATATGTTCAAAACCAGACATCAAATAGTTGTCTTCCCTGCACCTTCTTCCCAGGAGATATGCAATCCCGACGAAAGCACCAGATGACAATGCTTGCTCTTCTATGGCACTTTCACAAAAGCGATAGAAAAGCAAAAGTGACAGCAAAACAAGATTCATTTCTGTACCTGAGAATTAATCTAAGGATAGGTACACCTTCCATTCCTCAGATTTTGATTTAAGGGCTATTGCTGTGGTAGTCAGAGTAATGTAAAGAAGAAGTAAAGAAGAAAGAAAATAATTATATGGGGCTTTAAAATGCTTCAGTACAGAATACAAGAATATTCTCTTCCACATTCCCCTAAATAATTGTATTTCATTCTATCTACATTAAACAACTCACCATACCCCTAAATGTAGCTCAACAGTTAAGAAGAAAAGCATCTGGTAACATCTTGAAGAATACTACCGTTTAAAACAAAGAACTATTCCAAATTCCATAATAAAAGATAGAGAACACTGTATCCTTGCCTACTTTATTGATACAGTGATAAAAGAACAGAAGCTATTTCAGCTTCTAGTCAGTGCTTCTGCAGTATCACAAGTACCTCGTGCTTAATCAGGGCATAGAGCCTCAGGAAAGATACACAAAAAACTGAGCTCCCTAACACATCAATGACTTTTACTCAGGAAGGTTTTATTTTTGACAGCAGCACTGAGGCAACTAAAGAAATAAGACTGACTAACAGACATCAGCTACAGCTCTTCCTTTCTCGTAGTGATGAAGAAAGCAGAGCCCAGGTTCTGCTTTTATGAAACTTCTTCCCTATCACAATGATCAACATTATTAATTGGCTATTGATGATGTTCGCAGTACATGTACAGTTCGCAGTACAATAAACAGTACACAGATGATATTCTTTATTGACTATGCAAAAACACTCTGAAAATGTATTTTAGGTAATTAGGCAGAGTTGTACCTACGCTAAACAATGAAAGAAGAGCAGCAGTGGATGAAACAAAGCAAACCACATATTTATGGGAGAGGAAGAGCAAAATCTGGTAATACAGAGGGGAAAAATGAAACATCTACATCATTACGCACAAGATTTTTAGTGGAATTAATTTCTTCAAAAACTGACTCTTAAAGGTTTGTCTATCCACAGAAAAATGGATACATTATTTAGTATACATGAAAAAGAGCAAAATGAAAACTGTACTCACAATTCAGATTGCTTTAAATGGTAAGTTAATACAAAAAAGAAGAGGGGAAAAAAAATCACAGAAACTGTGATTAGAATAACGTGTGGTGTTATTAACTCTACAATTCAGCTTTACTACATAAACCTTAGTTGCCATTGTGAACTCCTACAGACAAACAACCTCTTTTAGCTTATACAACTACAAGACATACTTGATTTTTATTAATTCTTCCTCTCTTCAAAAACATGCCAACATTACATTTCACTATGAAGAGCTGCACCGCAGCAATGACACATTACTCAAACACATCAGTAAAGATGGCCTAGGAATATCAAGTGATCAGTTGTTGCAGAAGCACCTAAGAAGCATTTAGAAAAAAATTGTTTAAAAAAACCCATGTAGATGAGTAACTCCAGCGTCTACAGAAAAACTGTACCTCCCTATATTTAGAATAGGTATTTCTCAAAAGTAACAGGAAAAGAAAAAAAAACAAAAAAACTCTTTACATATAGGAAGACATATGGAATTTCTGAACACCAGAAATCAATTATGTGCAGCATTACTTTATAATTTTCCATCATAAAGTTCTGAAATGCTGCATGGACACCTATTCCCTGTTTTACAACCAAAGGAGAATACTATTGGTGTTAAAGATAGTGAAGCTAATTGAAAACTAAAAACCAGACCATGTAGATAATATATTTTAAAGGCATTAAAGCTGAACTATACAATTTTCCCTGTTTTTGTTAAACACTTACAGTAAAACCATTAACAGAAAAAAACCCAAACATATATTGAGCGGGAAGTGGCTGAAAAAACTTTTTAGTCACACAAAAAGCTGCAGAAAGTGTTATTTGTCATACAGTCTAGTGATAATTATCCACAAAGGCTTGTTTAACCTAAACCACATAAATATTGTTGTGACCTAAATTTTAACTACCTCACTTCAGCTACAGAGTCTCCTCTGCCAAGGGAAAAAGGGATCACATGGACAATTACATGAGCATAGCTGATGCAACATCTCACTGGACATTTTAACAGAAAAGGCAGAGCTCTAGAAGACATGAAGAATGTTTGGCTTGCACAATTCAAAAGTGAACTATTTGAATTGTGTCCTTTGGCAACCTGAAAAACCTGATATTTTGTAAACAAGGTGTGAATGAAATGCAGGAAAATTCCCGTTTGGATTTTTGATCACTTCTGTATGAACATGAATCCTCTCATCCCTGTCTCTGGCATCTCACCCAACATTCTCTACTCCCGCTGTTCCTGACACAGAGACCTACAGAGATGGGGTTTGTTTGGGAGTTTGCTTGTTGGTTTGGTAGGGTTTTCTTGTAAAAAATTTCCAAATGTACATAGATAGATATACAAAATCCTGTTCCCTCCGTTCCATCCATACTTCAACTAGTCGAACCAGATGTACTCAGCCTCTCCATCTAGCTTTCTTTCAGGAATCTCAATCTCTACATATTCTAGAACTTGTCTTACTGATCTTATGCCACACAGGATTTCTGAACACTAGCTGGAAACTAATAGGATCATGATGCTGGAAAAAGCCAACACCACAATAGGGAAAAAAAGCCTCCTCCTGCAGGGCTTATTTTTTTTATCTTCTGAATGACTACCACACTGTTGCCTTCTTCCTTTTCCTCTGATGCTTGCTTAACCCTTGCAGGAAGCTGCACTCCCTGCAGCTAGACTAACTAAGGCTAATTGTGTCTAATTTTATGTAAAACTGATTAAGGCAGGTAAATGGAAACAAATCTTGGTTAATAGCCAACCATGTATCCATGCATGAGAAAATATAAATGGAAATTAACATGCAATTACTAGAGGTTTAGGTATCACATTAATAGATATCGACTCTGATATACAAGAAGCACTGTGGTGCTGTGAACAGAAAAGTATGATATCTTCTCTTTTAACAATAGGACCATTGAGATCATCAGAGTTACCTCAATTCCATTAAAAAAAAAAAGTATTCTTTATGAACTGTGTTTAAATCATGCTTCTCAATAGGTCCATCACTTAACAACCTCAAATACAGGAATAACAAAGTCCAGGAAGTGCTGCGATTATTTAAACTCTTTAAAAATTAAGTCTGCAAAACTATAGTTCACTTAAGTTTTTAAAACTTAGATATTTAAGTCTAGGAATATCTTTAGCTATTTACCAATATCTACAGCACATACATGTAGGAATATTTTCATTACCATTCTAATCCAAGAATGGTTCTAGAAGTCATTTTGACAAACCAATCCTAACAATTCTACATCAGCATTTTCCCCTCACTTCAGAAAATGTTTCTTCTGCAGTGTGAAGAGACAGAAAACACCTTATAATAAATTACTGTTTGAATGTTTAATTTATGCCTCTTTATTTTAAATTCTTGATTCTTTTAAAATACGTACTTAATTCCAAAATCTATTTTAATCTAGATTACATATGAGAAATTGTATGTTCAGTGTTGGTTTAGTATGTGAGAACTTGCAATGAGACTCTGGAGGACTTTAACTGCACTTTCTGTATGAGTGAAATGAATTTAAAAAATACAACAACTTACAATCTGATCAAAAAAGGGTGGTTGACTTCTTTCAAGACAGACTTTTCATTGTGCACATGTTGCTCTTGCTTCAGTCGTATGACATCAGGAATGCTCATTACTTTCAGTGCAAAGTAACGCTTGGCCATTTTTTCCTTCACCAGATGAACACGTCCAAAGGTACCTGTGCCTGAAAAGTTGGAACAGAAACATTAACTTACTGTAAAAAGGGAAAAAGAACATAGATAATTTGCTAAATTAAAACCTACAGGAACTCCAACTATTCAGGTGAGGAGATTATAAACCTAAGCGTGCACAGAGAGGGGAAGCGATTCAGTAGGATAAGGAAGCGATAGGAAAAAATACATAAAATTTGCTGATCCTTTTAGAAATTGATTTTTTTAAAAAAATCTGCTTATAGTGCCCAGTGTAACATCACTTGGAAATAATGGCTGTCTGGCACTCCTTTTTTATAGTTAACGTATCCCTTTTCCAATTCACTCTAAAAAATAAAGAAAGAAAATAAAAACATATTGACTTGTAAATAATGCATTTAGGCATTTCTCTATTCGATAGTCATTTAAGTTCCTTTTAAGTGCATTGCACTCAAGACAACCATATATAACTGAACTGAGTATGCCTTTTAGTTTGAAATAAAAGCTAAAACTGGCACATTTAGCCAGATTGCTATTTGTTGTGCAGCACACTTACACATTTGAAGACCAACACACGTTTCAGCTCATTAGGTGGTTGCTTACTGTTTTCCTGCTCATTAAACAACGCCATGTAGGTTTCATTACAACAGTACAGCAGATATTTTTAATCCCATTCTCAGACAGAAATATGTGCCACTATAAAGGACACCTGGCATTCAAATCAAGCACCTAACTTGTGAAAGGTCATTCACTCCAGAAAAGTCAAAAGCTTATACTTCAGCTCACAATCATCCCCTTCTTTGCACATACCCTGGGAGTGGCAGCACACAGACCTGTTAGAGTATCATTAACTGGTTTGTTACTTGATTTCAGAATGTGTTGATCAGTTATGATCAATTAATAGTAAAGATAATTTCCTAAGATGTGCAACAGATACAGGGAAAGGAGTATGTATGTGAAAGGAAATACATTTTTGAGAGATAGCTAGAAGCAAGAAACTAACAAATTAACTTCTAAAACTGTATTATTGGGGACATGAGAAAAAACAAGGGAATTTTTACCTCTGGTAGCTTCAATTTATGTTTGAAATACTTGTTTTCTGTATGTGTATTCTCAGCTAAAAATTTTTATGTTATTTAACAGTTTTTCTTTCCAATCACTTAAAATGTTGTTTAAGATACAGCATTTAGTAAAAAACAAAATACTCATCTTACAAACTTAAAACTACTAACTCCAGCAATGCAGTTTCATGGAATTTGAAGCTCCCCTACCAACACAGCTTTCAAAGCCAGTTTTCAAGATAAAAGTTCTCACTACACAAACACATCAAGGATTACCATTGTCCAAGCACAAAAGATTCTATCAAAGAAGTTTTACATTCCCACCTATCCCGAGTTACAGTTCTTTAACCATGAAAACTGTATGCAGATCTCAGTAAAAGCCTGCTGTTCTAGCAAAGCAAACCATCAGATTATCCTGGAAAATTTATCATGCAATGAAATCCTTTAACAATGTAGTCACATTACATGACCATACCTGCAAACAACTTTATTTGCTCAGGGATGGGCTTCTGCAGTAAAAAAAAAAACCCACACAAATAACATAAAAAAACCCAACAAACACGAAAAAAAGGCTCAAAAGCTTCCAAGCAGAGACATCTGTTCAAGCTACTTTAAATACTGATTGCTTACATCTACACTGCGCTGCATGCACAGACAAAATGAACTTGCGTTATTTCTGAATTAGGAGCTGAAATTTAAATTCTGAGCAAAACCACTGTGAAGAATAATTAGATAGTCATATGACACACTAAAACTAGAAATCATCTTTCATTTTTGAAACTTCCAAATGTAGACTCAGGGAAATTAACAATACTAACCCCATAAGCAAATGTGGTTTTACATGCATTTTCATACTTGCATGAATGAAGTGCTTTCACAGACATATCCGACAGGAAAGTCAAAAGTGAACACATATCTAATTGTTTCTAGATTTCTAGTGATTGCATGTTTCAGGACTTGTTCTACTTGATGAAGAAATTTATATTTTAGAATGCTTTACTCTTCCTTACACTATTAGTTTATCTTTACAAACCACTGGTCAGAAATAACAACAATAATAGTAGAAATCACAAGTTGTGATTTCAAATCACAAATCTATTTTCAAAGAAGAACCTGTCAGCAATATTTATTTAGCAGTGTTCTAACTGCTATTTAGCAATAGTTCTAACTTTGGAAACACTTCCTCCTTGAAAACATCTCTGCCAGGAACAGCAAAGCTTGGCAGGCTATTCCAGAACAGTGGCAAGGCCCTAATCTACAAAGCCTCTGGGAAAACCAGACGACCACACAGACAGGCGAGAACAGAGAACCTCCCTAACCAGTTTTATTGTTGAACTGATCTTAGGCAGTCTATTTCAAACATCTTTAGCACAGTTGCAAGCAACTATGAAAACAAAGACAATACAGACCAAGAAGCCATCTAACATTTGTTTCCAGACATCTCCTCTCATAATATGTATTTTCTCTCCATCAAGTGTTCTCAGAAAATCCATTAGGCCTGCATTAGCTGGCAGTACCTACACACCCACCACTCTTCCATGGGACTAATTACTATGCTTTTCTTTCTGTTTTGTTTTCTGCCTAGCTAGTCTTCAAAAAACCAGATAAAGTTTGCATACATAAACCAGTGTAATTCAAATCTCACTTCAAACCTGCTCATACTTTTAGCCATTTCTGTTAACATTTTTAAAATGTTTTTCCTTGCAATTGATAGGGAGAAGCGAGAAACAGGATGACAGTCAAAGTGGGAGGCTGCAACAAGATGTTATCATGGTTGTTTAGCATAGTCAAGAAAATCTGTTTATAAGAACAGGTTGTTGTGACTAGATGGAAATTCTGCCCCTCAGATTCATAAAAAGAAAACTAAAAACTTGAAGCAGTAAGTGGCACTGTGCAAGATGAAGGCTCAGCTCCATAAATTTGAGGGAAGGCTTTTGGAAGCAAAAAAGGCAGTGCTTAGTAGTCTTCCATCAAACACCACTCCAGGTGAGGAGACAATTAACTCATGGAACAATTTTTGTTTTGAAAGAACTGTTCAGCTTTTTCCCCAATCACCTCAGAGCTCAGCTGCGTGAACCACCAAAATTTGACCTTTTGTGACAGATTGTCACAAGATTTGTGACGGATTTGCACTTCAGTCTACTCAGATTTATTTCACATTCGGTTCAAACCAAGAGAACAAGGGACATCGTACCATTCTGGATTAGTCCTGGGATCTACCATGTACTATCCTGCTGAAGGAAGAACAATGGCTTCATATACTCCCTACACACATATCCCTATCCATCTGTTTATTATAGTACATGTTACAAGAGTTTCAGAGCAAAACAAAGCACCTACATGAGAAGATCGTACCTCAAGAAAACAGCTGCTCTTACAAAGTCTGAAGGCAGATTTGCAGTTTCTTTGCATAGGCCCCTTCTCCCTGCTAAGGCATGTGGTAAGTGAAGGTCTTTGGCCACCAGAAACAACAGCAAGAAGAGCGTCCGAGCTGTTTGCAACACAGTTCAGGATTTTCAGGACTAAATGGGCAAGCAGTATAAAATATGCAAAATGTGAGCCACTAATCCAGTTTACAATGATCTGTTTACAACAGAAACAATAAAATTCTTGGCTCCCATTGCAACTTTTATGTAGTAGCAGAGCTTGAAGGAATGCCAGCAATCTTCTCCATTAGGTAACCTTCTCATGTTAAACACAAAGAGATGAGGCCAAAATCTGCAGAGGACCAACCTGGCCTACATATCAAACACAAGTAGGGTATTTTCAGCCTACAAAACAAGCTGGATTCCATAATACCATGCAAAAACACCACAGCCAGTTTCCAGAATTTTGCTGTCTTTGAAGCCTGGCAGAAAAGAATAAAGTATGTGGGAACCTTTCTGATGCAATTTCTGATACTTTTGATGCCAGGTAAACCAATCCTGCAACTTTTGATCAGCTAAAACAATTGAGTGAGTAGTGACTATTTTGCTAGTGATGTAGATGACTAATTTAATGCTTAGATTGCCTCTTTATTTGCTCCAATTAATTAGACCCACCTGTTTCAGCTTCCCATCCTTTTAATCCCCAGCTCTTTCTTAAAACCAAGTTTGCCTTGCTCAGATAGATACCATCTGTTTTAATGAAGAATAAACTAGGTCATGTGAGCTCTATATGACCTCAAGGGCTGCTTTCTGACTCCCAGAAGGATTGTCCCTGACTTCAACAGATGCCTACAAAAATCATCAAATGCATTCACTTTTATTTACAGTTAGAAGAAACATTTCCTACTGTGATACATATTAGTCTTTATTGATAGCCACAAGCACAACAGACTTTATTCCATTAAATATCAGAGATTAACTAACTGAAATGTATCAGATTATGAACTCACTACTGAATGTCAACTTTTGTCTGCCATTTAATCACTGTCTTATTTTGGGATGGAACTTCAACAGCTCAGACAAAGAAATGGGGGTTGTCAGTAATTCTTGAAAAAGAAGTGGAAAAGCGGCACAGCAAAGGAAAACCAGCCTGCCAAAACAGACTGGTACCCAGAAGATTAACACTTGGGAGAAATATTTAGGGAAAGCACAAGGAATAAGCAACTTTGGGCTTCTACAACAAAAGATGTAATTGGCACATGAATTAGGGCAACTCAAAAATGAGTAGGATGATTTTTGACATCAGAGTAGTGAAGTTAAGATTTTTATTAATGTGTCAACCCATAGGCAAATGTCACTGAAAATGCCAAATTCAGTTTCTTCACTGTTCTGCAAGCCAGCTGTGGTTTGTCCACTGTAAATCTTAGATCACTGCTTTTATAGATCTGCATTAGCTAGAGGGTTCAGATTTAACACTGAGAAACATATCAGAGAAATAACAAAAGTTAGAGGAGGTTTTATAGGATGCCTTTTTTTTGTCTAAAACTGTGCATCTCATACTGCTGAATAAACGAAAGAAATCTCTGATCACAATTTTTGCAAAGCTTT